CCACAACAGCAACCTAGTTTTCCCATGTAGTCTCCCATCCAGGTACTGAGCAGGCTTAGCCCTGTTTAACTTCAGTGAGTAACTGATCTTGCTGCAGAGTGATATGGCTGTGGCTTTAAAAGCAGTTTACAACACTATTAGCCCCCTTAAGAAATATATATATATATATATATTTATTTAAATAATTTTTTTTTATAATTTTGACTTCATCTCTTCACATGCTATGTTTAGTTCTCACACACACTTATGTGGACCACGCATAGAATGGCTGAACATGTAATGTAATGTAATGTGTATTTATATAGCGCATTTATTGTGTATGGCCATACACCCAAAGCGCTTCTCAATCATGAGGGGGGGTATCTCCACACCACCACCAGTGTGCAGCATCCACTTGGATGATGCGACGGTAGCCAGAGGACATCGGCGCCAGTGCGCTCACCACACACCAGCTATTGGTGGAGTGGAGAGACAGTGATAGAGCCAATTCGGTGGGAGGGGATGATTTGGAGGCCATGATCGTGAGGGCCGATAGAGGGACTTTGGAAGTGCCATGCGATTTTTATTGACCACAGAGAGTCAGGACCTCGGTTTAACATCTCATCCAAAAGATGGCGCCCACTGACAGTGTAGTGTTCCCCTCACTTTTACTGGGACATTAGGACTCACACAGACCACAGGTTGAGCGCCCCCTTCTGGCCTCACTAACACCACTTCAAACAGCAACCTAGTGTTCCCTAGTGGTCTCCCATCCAGGTACTGACCAGGCTCAGCCCTGCTTAGATTCAGTGAGTAAAAGGTCTTGGGCTTCAGGGTGACATGGCTGTGGCATGTCATACATTACATTGGCTTTTTTCATACATTTCTGCTTTTTTGCTGCAAAGAAAATATGAAAATCCTTTACATCTCTCCAATAAATTACATAATCAACTAGTTTAAACTCAAAATCATTTTTATATTCATATTTTTTTAGATTAATTCAGTAAACAAAAGCAGAATAATGTCAGGGTTAATTTTAGGTATGATGTTAAGGTTGCCAACTGGTGATTGTTGTATGGTGGATGTATTTTTTTCTTTTTCTTTATTTTTCTTTATTCTGAACTTTTATTGTAATTTCAATTATTAACTTTTTAATTATTACTTTTTATTATTTTATACACTGATCATGTTAGTTTTGGGTTCTGATGTGGTTTTCGTGTGTCCATTATTCATCTTTCTTTTTAATTCTTCATGTTCTGTATGTGACTTCTTTTCTTCATTCACTGCCCTGCTTGCTGTCTCGCTGTATTCTGTATTTGTCTCTCAGACTTGGAAACATCCATGGATAGTCGCTGCACCACAGACAGTGCGGACAGCACATTGCTTGGCCGTCGCTACTGAACCTTCCCTTCTTTCCCTCCTGCAGTCCTCTTCAGCTTCCTCTAATAACTGGACATTTTCATCTGTGAACTGTTGTGGTTAATTTCATTTTTTTCTTATTCCTATTCACATTTTGTGTTTTTGTATTTATGCATCCCATCACCATGCTTATTGTAAATAATTGTGCATTTGAGTGTTTCCTGTAAGTCTTCTTTTGTTCTTTTCTGTTTTTATATATCTATGACATTCTTTTATTCTCTTTGAATGTGTGTGTGTGTGTGCGTGCGTGCGTGTGTGTGTAAAGAAAATCATCAGTTGTGAAGTTTATTTGATCAAGAAGTGTCTGCGTAAAGATACAATACAATGCACTCAGCATTACAGTCTTTTTATGGCAGTACTTTATTCATTAAGGCATTACAGGAGGTTCCAATCATCAATGTTAGAAATTATTTACGAAATTCTTCAACAACAGATTGTAACTTGGATTCAAGTAGTATTTGGTTGGTCATTGTTCTAAACGTGTTCATACGTACCTATTTGTTTTTTTTTATGTTTAAGTATTTTTAATATCTAGAAGATAAAGTATAAACTAAAAAATAAAGATAAAGCTGAAAAACTTAATTTAAACTTTAAAGGGCACATATTTTACCCCTTTTTCAATATTTAAGATGTGTTCATTTACTGTGTCTGGAAAGTTTCAGCTCAAAACAACCATCAGATTATTTATAATACCTTTCAGAATATTGTAATTTCCATCTATTTTTATGCATATTTTAGACATTCGCCCAGAAAATGGTTGATGGAAACGGCAAGAAAAAAATGTGCATAAACCACGATGGAAACACTTTTACCAAACAAATTATTTTTATGTACATTAAAAAAGGTCATGTGACTTTGTTATAGGAGATCATGTGATAGTAAAAATGTGTGTGAAAGGATAAACCAGCAGGCTGAGCACACTGTAAAGCATTGAAAATATTGATTTGGTCAATCTAAAATGCCATAACAGTAATTTCAGTATTAGTGTTATTTTATTAATTACCTCCAGGACTGTCAAGAGAGTCTGTGCTCCGCGTCTCAGGCCTATAAATGCCACCACAAGTTCATTGCATGTCAGCATTTGTCTTCTGCGGTGCAAGTCACTTGTGATGTGATGATATTGCTCTCTTTGACTCATTGGATGGAAACACTTCTTTATTCACACGTCTTTTGTGTGATATTTCAGTTTTGTGCATGAAGTTAATTCACATTTTTGGCTGGAAACATAGCTAATGTAGCTGTTTTTGTTGCCTGTGCCTTTAATGCTAGTTCTCCCTGCCCACTGTTCCCACGTGGCTGTCAGTGTGCCTCAGGCTCCAGCTGCATCAGATAAACAGCACAGTGACAGACACGAAGGAAGCAGATCTCTTAAACGTTTGTGAGAAATACTACAATAACAACTTTCCCAAATATTATTTGATGTATTTGTTGTGGAGTTAATTCAAGCCTATGGAACGTCATTGTGTGAGACTCATCATTGCATAAAGTTTACGCTAGAGAACCCGCCCCGTTTTCTACCCGCCGCGCCCGTTTCCACTAACGAGTGGGGGGAGAACAAAACCGAAAACCACCCAGCTATACAGAGTCCAGACAGCCTATAACAAACTGTCTGTATAAACACACACACACACACACACACACACACACACACACACACACACACACACATAAGCACCAAGCAAGTGACACACACACACATAGGCATCACACTCTTTCTCTCTCTCTCACTCACACACACAGACAGCACAAAGCTTTCTCTCTCATTCGTACACGCACACACGCACAGACACACACACAGAGTGATGCTGTGTTTAGCTTGTTTGCTGCTGTCTCATTCACACACATACATACGCGTGCTCGCTCGCTCGGAAGTCGGGAGCGATATTGTTGGACAGTTACTCCCGTCCAAAATTAAACCAGTTACCGACCGCTCCCGCGCTTTATTCGGAAATGTATTACCGCACCGCAGAAATCTGGTCGGGTTGAATGCAGACCTCTAGTTCACGCACACAAACACACACACACACGCAGTTGTGACAGGATACACGTTAATATCCTCTGCTGTGTGGATATCTGTTATGTTAATGTACATATTAAACTTGATTTAATGTCCATAACCGGGATTCTTCTTTTATAATTGTACTGATATGTGGCTGTGGTGATAAAGTAAAGACGGTAAAATCTCTGTAATAAAGTTTTAAAAAGGTTTTAAATTTGTAAAACTCATTCTTGATCATATTTGATGATGATTGATGTTCACAGCGATACCAGTTTCTTTGTGTATGTCCTGTCTTGTTGATATGATTATAGGCGTTACTACAGAGACATGTTAATACGCGACGTCAATCATTTTGGTGGGTACGGGAACCACACTCCTACGTCACGTTGTGGTGGGCCGCAAAATGGGGAAAATTTGGATCCTATTTTACTGTCAGGAAATTAAAAAAAAGAGACTTAGTGTATTTTTATCACTTCAATATGACTGTGGACAAATTATACCTAAACTCAGTTATGTTCAAACTGCTTAAAAACGATGTTTAGGTGCCCTTTAAATTAGCAGTTTTCCATATTTTGTGTATTTTATTTTATTTTCTGTTTATTTATGTTTTTGAAATGCATTATGGTACATTTTCTGTGACTTTTTTCTTTACTCTTTACATATAATTTCTTATACATTATATTATTTCAAACTACTAAAGTGTGAATAAATTTTCAACATCAAAAGTCGACAGAGCAAAGATCAAGATCCCATAATGCAATTCCTACTCGTAAATAAATGGATAAATGCTTGTGAATCACGAAATACGGAAACTGTTATTTAACATGTTTTACAGCAGTTAAATTAGCTATAATATTATGTTAAAAAGGAATTTATAATAATAACTTTTGTATTGCTATAATAATAATAACTGTTTTATGAAGGTCTCGAAGGTCCCCCCTCATGATTATCTCGAAAATATCCACACTGTAACACAACAGTTCATTTTCTAGCTGTATAACGTCTGACTGAATGGGCACAGAAGTGCTGATTTATTGCATTTAAATTAGTTGTCAATATTTGCCTGTGTTTTTATTGCACATTATAAGGGAATCGTGTAATAATTTTTTATTTAGACTGGACTTCTCAGGTTGTGCTTAAATAAATAGAAGCAAAATCAAATTGATCCGTTTTACTTGGCTTGATTTCTTTTTTCTTTCCTTTTGTATTACTAGTTTTTTTTTTTACAAAGTAGTTTTGCATGTTAAAGAAATAAGGTCTAAAATGTCATTTAGAACATTAGACTATAAATGTGCAGTAAAAAGTGTCCGTTTACTCATTTACTAATGAAGTTTCTTCAGTTAATGGATCATGATCATTCTGGATGAATGAGAAAAGATTAGGCTAGGTTCTGAATATTGCTCTTGCTGATATCAAGAAATCATATGGTGAGTTAACAATGTCAATATGTATTTTTATTTTTTTTAAGTGTGTGTTTCTTGAAAACAGTAAGCATGGAAGTCCCCCCCAGTAAACCTAATCATTAAAGAATTGTACATGAGATTGAGTTGGACTTTCCATTCATTAATTCTGGATTTATTTTTCTTATTTTTTTAAATTTCAGGTTTCCCATCAATATCTCGAAACAGAGATGCCTACCAGTCTATTGACCACAACGATCAATCTGGAAGCTCTGCCAACCCCTTTGGCCAAGCGGAAGATGGCAAATCTGGCACTCGTTCCTACTAAACATTTATTAAAAAATATATATAGCAAAATGTTTTGCAACCCAGGCTAAATGTGAATTTTTGCTTGGTTCATGATTTGTGTATGTTTTTGTTTAATTTGTATGCCTATTTATTATTATTATCATTATTATTATAAATAATAGTATTAAATATAATGTTGAAGCATGAAGGAAAACAACTTTACATTTGGAGATGCCTCGTTACTGAAGAAAACTCAGAGATAAATGAAAACCCACCTTCAACACCTTTTTTTTAACCTTAGGACTGCTTTGTACAAGTGCAAGCTGTTTGATTTTTTAAAGGTGTTATTTGTGAAGCTCAAAATTTGCTGCTTCACAGTAAGGTTCCTTGATGCTATAATTTTGGTGTGCACAACATTATTATTATTTTTTACTTTTACTTTTCTTCATTTACTATTTTGTAGCATAAAATTGGTCCATTTTGTGAAAGGTTTAAACTTTTTTTTCCAACCTGATCTCACAAGAAAACGCAAGTATTTTACGTTTTGTCAGTTTAGTGGCTAATTCGTACAAATTTGTACAAGTTCAGTCATACAAAAATGAATGATTTTAAAAAGTAGGCATGGCACCTAACCCCACCCCTAACCCCAACCGTCATTGGGTGATGAGCAAATCGTACTAAATTGTACGAATTAGATTGTACGAATTCATATGAATTAGCCACTAAAACAAATAGTTATGAATTACTGTGAGATTGCATTGGTTTTTCTTAAACCTTGTCATGGGATCTGTCCTGTATTAGCTATATATTAGCTAAAATATTATAATTAGTAAAATTCTATGTTATCTATCATTAGTTATCATATATGGCCATATATATGTGAATTATATATATATACAGTTGAAGTCAGAACTATTAGCCCCTCTTCCTTTTTTTAAATATTTCCCAAATTATTTTAACAGAGGAAGAAAATTTTAGATATCGATAAGATTTTAGATATAGACACAGTATGTCTCATAATATTTTTGCTTCTGTAAAAACTCCTATTTGTTTTATTTTGGCTAAAATAAAAAAGTTTTTACATTTTAAAAGCCATTTAAAGGTTATAATTATTAGCCCCTTTAAGAAATTTTGTTTATATAGTCTACAGAACAAACCATCATTATACAATAACTTCCCTAATTACCCTAACCTGTCTAGTTAACCTAATTAGCCTAGTTAAGCCTTTTAATGTCACTTTAAGCTGTATAGAAATGTCTAGAAAAATATTCTATTATTAGAATATTATTCTATTATTCTGTTATTAGAAAAGAGATATTAAACTATTATGTTTAGAAATGTGTTGAGAAAATCTTCTCTCCGTTAAACAGAAACTGGGGGAGGGGGATAAACAGACTAATAATTCAGGGGGGCTAATAATTCTGACTTTATCTAGTTGACACATACAGTACAATTATTTTTTTCCTTTTTTAAATATTTCTCAAATGATGTTTAACAGAGACAAGCAATTTTTTTCACATTATTTCCTATATTTGTTTTAAATACAAAAGTCTTATTTGTTTTATTTCAGCAAAAAGCAGTTTTAATCTTAAGCATTTTTCGATAGACTACAGAACAAACCATCTTTATAAAATGACTTGCCAAATTACCTGATCTCGTCAACCCAATTAACCTAGATAAGGCTTTAAATTGCACTTTAAGCTGAATACTATCTTGAAATATATGTAAAATATTATGTTCTGCCATCATGGCAAAGACAAAAGAAACCAATTATCAGAAATTATTAATATTTACAATTTAAGTTATTAAAACTATAATATTTAGAAATGTGTTGAAAAAATCTTTACAGTACATCTTGTACTAAAATATACAGGGGGGCTGTTAATAAAGAGCGCAAATATTTCTGACTTTAAATAAAAGGGCCATTTGTGCAATATTTGAAATTATATGTTGCATATATGACATATTAAATCGTCGATGCCAGTCCATCTGTTAAATGCTGTTAAAGGATTGTTTTGGATATTTATTCACCAAAGTATGTGTTCTTGAAAGACTAGATTGAAGATAAGCTCACCAAAAACAAAGACAATTCTGTCATGAAATATGAAAATACTGGTTTTGTGTTCCAATTGTTGTTGCAGCTATGATTGATATTTTGTTAATTATTCACAATTGCTACAAATAATAGATTGTACAGATTTGCTGGATTATAATTGTTATGTTTATTTAAACAGGATATAACTCCATTTTCATATTGCCTGCAGGGGCAGTGTAACTATGTCAATATATATTTTAAAAAATTATAGTGTTTAGGTTGGAAATTTTTTCATACAGCAGAAAAACACTGAATATTTTAGTAAACTGATAAAAAGGATTTTGTGATGAAGTACAAAGATTTAAACAGTGCAATTTAAT